ATTTGGTTCACTTTGGACGGTAAACTCCATCTGCTCCATATTTGCTGACATAATTTTACAATTTGTGTTATAGTTTTTTAGAGGTAACAACTTTTGACTCTCGACCAAAGATTAAATCTAGAATTCGTTGTTTATAATATGATTCAAAGCTTGTAACAACAAAATCTGCTAATTGTGTTACGTTGAAAGCTTTTGTGCGTTCCAGTGGAATAAGCGGAACATAACTTTTATATAGTTATTTGTATCTGTGCCTCTCTATAGAAGGTCTTGTCGATAGAAAACTGCCCACTCCTCTATTCTTGTTAGCATGTTCTCAACATATGTTTTAAAGTTTTCATGTTTACAACTGTCAAAAAAGTCTTGCTTTGAATTTTCGAGGTCTGTGCTAGTTTTAGAATATAAAATATTTTTGAACATGACATAAAATTGCTGTTTTTTCTTTCCGCTAGATCATCATCGGTAAGAATAACTTTAGGATTTATTTTAATGTGAAGGATTTCAAAAAGGCCTTTAACGCCCAATTCAAATACATCTGATTTTTGGCTACTGCTGATGATACAACCTATGGGCAAACCTCCAGCCGCAGACTGCGTTATAAAAAAATACACTTTGTGGTTTTGGTTGTCGCAATTGCCTGTTGCATCAACAAACATTATTTCAGAACACTGAGGCAATTCAAGTGTTTTTTGCATTATTGGCGTACAAAGTGCAATTGTATATTCTCCATTTTTTTCCGATATTTTAAAACGAACTGATCTATTTTTTTCATAATATTTTAGCAACTCCTTAAGTTTAAGTAGCATATTGGGACCTGTATAATCGCCATAGTGTTTTTTAAAATTTGCTTTCCATAGTGTACACATTATTTTTTTTTTTTTTTTAAATAATGTCTATCAAAAACAAGATTTTCATAACTCTTCCATTTTCATACAACAATAGGTATGGTAAGCAGACGAGACTGAATGACCCCTTTCGAATAATTCAATTATTTTTGCTTTTACTTCAGATCCTACAGGTCTTTCTCGAAGCGCTTCAGCAACGTCCAGCCTATGATTGTGTTTATTACGAAATTCAACGATACAAGGATATTCTTGATCTACAGTTGATACTTTATTGCTTTTAAAAAATCGTTGGATTGTTATAAACAATTATTGTGCAGGGCAGTTAATATTTTTAGATCGCTTATTTCGAACTCCTTTTGTAACTTTGCGTGTAGTCGTCTTAAAATGGCAGTAATATATCCATTTAAATAGATTTCTCGGCCGATCAGAGGCTACTTTAGAAGTTTTTAAAATGGACCAAGATTCTTTACTATTTTTTTGGTATTCTTCCATCCATTTCTAAAAGAGTAGAATAGCGGAAATGATTACCACAACTCATGCGATGTTGCTTTTAAAAATTTATATTATAAACAAAAATAAACGATTTTTAAAAAGTTGCCCTGCTACCCAAATTGGTAACGCTGGAAAATATTATTGAAAATTACAACTGGGAAAAGTACTATAATACAAATGATGTAAATATAAAAACTCAAGAACTGCTAAATATATTACATCATTTTATCAACAAAAATACAAAAACCAAAAAAACTAAATAAAAACAAAATTAAACGTAAAAAATGGATTACCGCGGCTCTATTACAGTCAATAAATCATAAAAACGAACTTTATAAAGAATGGCAAAGTAACTTAAATGACGAAAGAAAAAAACAAACGTACTTTAATTACCGTAAGCATGTAAACGACCTTATAAAAATTACTGAACGAAAATATTATCAAACACAAATAGGAAAAAATGGAAACAATGCAAAATATATCTGGAACTTAGTAAATTACAAAGACAAAACCGATCAAAACATAAATGAAATAATTTCAGAATCAGGAGAAAAGATAACGTGTAAAAAAGAAATTGCAGAAGAATTTAACAACTACTTTACACAGGTGGGCGAAAATCTAGCTCGCAAGATATCACAACCATCCAATCTTCCTATAACCCGAGATAAAAATCCTCACACCTTCTATTGGATACCTGTGACTGTTGAAGAAACTAGAGAGTTTGTGAGATCACTAAAGTTAAATAAAGCACCTGGCGTAGATAATTTAAAAGCCGAAATATTTAAAAAATTAGAGAGTCAATTATGTAAACCTATTGCTAATCTAATAAACTTAATTTTCACTAGTGGAATATGTCCTTCTCACTTTAAAATAGCTCTAGTTGCTCCAATCTACAAAAAAGACAAAAAAGAAAATGTATGTAATTACAGGCCAATATCCCTAATTCCAACTTTGGCAAAATTAATGGAAAAAGCAGTAAAGCAGAGGCTAACAAAGTTTATTGATAAGTATAGTCTAATTTCGAAGCGGCAATTCGGTTTTCAGAAAGGACTCTCAACTAACGACGGCCTTCAGTGTCTAGTTTCTTCAGTCTACAAATCTATTGATAAGACAGAACCAGTGGCAGTAGTATTTCTTGATTTGGCAAAGGCGTTTGACACTGTGAGCCATTCGCAGTTGTTTGATGTCTTGGAAGACGCAGGTATACGAGGGTTGCCACTTAAATTCTTTGAAAGTTACTTATCACATAGAAAACAAGTTGTAAAAATAGAAAATGAACGTAGTACTGAAAAACTGGTGTCATTTGGCGTGCCTCAAGGAACTGTTCTGGGGCCAATACTATTTAATTTATATTTAAATAATATATTTTCTTACAATTCTACAGGCAAATTAATTGGTTTCGCAGACGACACGGCTGTAATATATAATGCAAAAACATGGGGAGATTTAAAAAGTAAAATTGAAAATGATTTAAAAAATATATTCGATATTTTTAATCACAAATTACTAACAGTTAATCATAAAAAAACATATATTGTACCGTTTACTAGCTATAAAAATAATTTACCTGATTATAAGAAAATAATTGTCAACAATATCGATATCTATCTGAAAAACGAAATAAAATATCTTGGAATAAAACTAGATTCGCACTCAAGATGGACTTCTCATTTGTCAGACGTTGCTAAGACGTTAAGATTTTTATTTTATAAATTTAAACAATTAAGAAAAATACTGGATTTATCACATCTGAAAACAGTTTACTACGCACTTGTGGAATCCCGTCTGAGATACGGTATTGCCAGTTGGGGAGGAACCATGCCTGGTCATTTGGAACAAGTAGAAATACTCCAAAGAAAAATATTAAAAGTAATTACTTTTAAGAAAATGAAATATAGCACAGAGCTCCTATTTAAAGAAGTAAATGTAATGAGTTTGAGACAACTGTATATTTTTAGTTTGGTAATTTACCTTTTTAAAAACCGTGCTGACTTAAAAACACTTGACCATCATTATCAAACAAGAAATAAGTCTAAAGATTTTGTACAAACAAAAACAGCTAAAAAAACAATAGGAACTAGGTATTTCCAATTTTTAGCACCACGATTATTTAACTTTCTCCCAGAAATATATAAAATGTATTTAAGAAAATTAAACTCAATATCATCTCTAAAAACTATTTTTAAAAGATACATAAAATCATTAAAGGCCGATGACATTGAAAAAATTCTTGAAATCTAAGAATAATAATATGTATCTAACAAAAAAAATGTAAAAAAAAAAAAAAATAAAAAAAAAATATGTATACGAAGTGTAAACCTTTTTTACTGGTCAGTGTACCCCATGCTCAACCTTGAAGGTCTTAATGGGTTGCACGGATCAAAAAAAAATTTGTATTATTTTATATTATATGTACATTATATACCCTTTGTAGTAAGTTTACTGTCATTATATCATTTAGGTTTGTTTAGTTAAATGTATTTTTTTTGTCTATACTGTCTTATATAATTATTGTAATGTTCTTTAACTAAATAAACATTATTATTAAAACATTTTACCATTTTGTTTAAAACTAAAAACGGAATCGTTTTCTAAAAAAATGGGATGTTGCCCTTTAAAAAATGTAAACTGCCCAAACTCGCAACTATGTAAACATTTGAAAAATTTTTAATTCTTGGTTTAAAATTAAAAAAAGGAATCAATTTATCACAAAAAAATGCGAAGTTGCCTTTAAAAAATATAAATTTTAGTCTCATCTGACAAACTTGCAACGTTGCAAAAATTTAAAAGCTTTTGGAAGTATATGTCTATTTATCCAAAAATAAGAACAAAATAGCCAATCTCAGGTTTTAGAACGATAACCCTGCATATTTTAAATGGCAACATCGCAGAGCGTTTAGCGCCCAAAAACATAACCTAGAAATTTTGTTTACATACCTCTACATCTTCTTTTGTTTTAATTCTTAGTTTGTAGGTGGATTTATTAATTAACTTCCAATCATACAGCTTCGGAAACCAAATCTCTCTTATTTCATTCATATTATTTTCTTTAGACAGATATAAATAAAAACGTGTTTGGTTAAAATGGCACAAACGACCACAAAATACGAATTGACAAATAGAGCAGTGCTTTGTTTTGCGCTATAATCAATCACGCGTATGTAGGAGATGTGTTAGCAGTTTTGGTTGTACTAAGTCTGTTACATACAAATTGCAGTTCAGCATTTCACGATTTTATGTTGCGTCTGCTACTTATAAATATGCGCGCGGTGCCGCCCGTTTTTCCTTCATTCCTTATCGAATGTTAGCCGCTAAACAAAAAAGAAAGATTCATAAAAAAACTTACCGATTGATAGCACAAATATTAAAATAAACAAATACTTATCTTAATTTACAATATCTTAAATTACAATGGCAAAATCAAATCGCTTGATACGAGAATCCCATCGGTGATAATAAAATCCAAATATGCCAGCAGACTAGTGCTGGGCACTAAAACAAGATGTTTCTCTGGCAAAATATGCGAGAAAATTATAAAAAACTTATTATAAGTAATAGCACAAAAAAGTTTAATGATAATTTGTACTTTCTAACTGTCTCTACAATTTTCTAATGCCTTCATTTGGCTCATTAATCGATTCTAAACATAATAATAAAAATTCTCACCTTAAAGACCCAAGGACCCAAAATATCATGTAAATATTTCAAAACTCTGTGTCTGCAAAACTGTTTGTGTATTTGAGTGTTCACTCCTCCAGGATGAAACGAATTTGAAGTTATTCTGTAACACTTTAGTTTTTCAGCAAACATATCAGCAATCACCAACACACAGAATTTTGATATTCTATAGTCACCAAAAATTTTGTTAACAGTTTTTCCGAAACAAAATAAATTGGCAAAAACGGAAACTATAGGCGAACTGCAAAAAATTAAACGGGCTGAAGAAGAGTTTTTCATTAAGTCTGAAAATAAAAATATATATATATATATATATAATTTCAGTAATATTTTAGTATTTGTAGAGTAAGCTATCAATTTTTCTTCAAACATAATAAGGTTCTACTTTAAAGTATATGGGGTGATCCAATTTGAATTTCTGAACATTAAAATAAAATAAATAAAAATTTAAAAATATATACAGGGTGTTTCAGATTTAAACGGACACAGCCTAATGGGAGATAACGTACACTTAGCTGAGTTTAAAACACCCCATACTTAGCCTTTAATCCTTTTCGATTCTGAGATATAGGGTGTTCTATGATTTTTTGCCAAAACTAAAATCGGCCATTTTGTTTGAACGGCTGGAGATATTTTGATAAAATTTTGTAAAAAAGTTACACTTTCTTTGTTTAATCGAAACTTTAATTTAATTTTAAAAAATTCCAGGACCGGACTCTCTTTTTTTATATTGCCCCGTTTATAGGATTTTAATAAATGTTACTTTAAATAAAACGTGGATCAATAAATAAGATAATGTAATAATATTTTATGGCACCATCTTGATTTTCTTACAGTACATTTTTATAATGGCGACTACAATATTATAAATCACTTATTTACGATATTAAAATCAAATATTTTTCTCTACACAAATTAGGTACCATCTTAATTTTTTTTAACTACAACATTTTCCATTAGAAAATTGAACATTTACCCAGGACCGGGCTCACTTTATTTAATAAAGTAATAGAACAAACTAACAGAAACAAAAAATTAATTAAAACCAAAGTAGATTTTCAAAATGAACAACGTAAATGTCAGTACACATCTGCGAACGTTTTAAAAGGTTTTTTACTGATTTGTCAAATATTTTCGGTTTATTTCTAAAGTAGTTATATACAATGTTAATTTTTTTCAATAACTGTGCTTGGGTATTACTATGTATTAAAAATAAATCACCCATAAATCACCCTGTATTATATAAAGAAACATTGATTCATATATACTATTGTATTTCCACTAACAACATAAAAATACTAATATAAGTGTTTAACATTTAATTCCAAAAACATGACAATGACAATTAATTAATAATATCTATCAGTATGACAAAACTAACAAACATATACAGCGTGTTCCAACATCTTGCTTTTTTTTAATTCAACACATAATCATCCAATCTTTTTGGAAGTTTTGTTTTTCACTGAGGCTGCCTGGTAGCTGACTGTATACTAGGTGTTGAGGGCGGTGTTGAATCTATGGTATTTTCCTGTTCGACAGTTTGATTCATGGGTGGTCGTACATATTCAATATCTAAGGTTTCATAATTCTCTATTGATTCGGTTTCTTGTGAATGTTCATTGGAAAATGTAGTAAATTCATCTATAAGAACCAATGGCAAGGACTTGCAACAAGAATTTGACATTGAATTATCTGTAGGAGCCCATCTAGGCCTCAATTGATTTGTATGTGAACGAATCAATCTTAAACGTCTAACGGCGTCATTCTCTAATAACACGTTATACAATACCTTACCAATTCGTTCTATAATGGATCCTGGTGTCCAATTGAAAAAATTGTTTTTATAAACCTTTGCAAAAACTAAATATCCAACTTTAAACTGTCTTACTCTGGCTCCATGTTTATGATTAAACTGTTCATTTTGACTTTCATTTACAAAATAACTAGTCGATTGAGTTGGTTTTAACATGTCCAGTTGGGTTTTTATTTTCCGGCCCAACATAAGTTCTGCTGGTGACACTCCTGTAACTTTATTAGGAGTAGCACGATAATTCCATAAAAATATATGCAATGCTTCCAATAATCCTTCCTTCCCTCTAAGTTTTTTTATACCACGCTTAAAAGTATCAACAAAGCGTTCAGCTTGTCCATTAGACTGAGGGTGGAAAGGTGCTGTTGTAATATGTTCGACACCAAACTCTTTACAAAATTGTTGGAATTGAGAACTGATAAATTGGGTTCCGTTATCTGAAACTATTGTATCACAAGACCCAAATCTTGCAAATACTTCTCGCAATATATTGACAGTATTCTTAGCAGTTATTGATGTTGTCAGAATAACTTCTGGCCATTTGGTATATGCATCGACAATTACCAAGAAATATTGTTTATCTAATTGTGCATAGTCAATATGTAGTGGGTTCCATGGCTTTTGTGGTGTAGGCCAAGACTTTAATTCTGTTTTTGTTGGGGACTTTGCAACTGATGCACACTGACCACAAACTTTGACAAAATGATCGATATCTTTGTCTATATCTGGCCAATAAACATACGATCGTGCTAACGCTTTCATGCGTTCTATTCCTGGATGGGCACGATGAAGTTGACAAAGTACTAACCTTCTATATTTAGAAGGAATTATGATCCGATCATTGAACATCAAGCAATCATCAATTTCCAGCAATGACTCTTTTCTGTTAAAAAAAGGAATAACTTCTTCTGTTAAGTCATTTGAATGTGGCCAATTTGAATTAATAAAACCTTTCACCTGTTGAAAAACTGTATCCGAGATTGTTGAATCTTGAATCATTTTAAAAGTGATTGGTAATTTTGATGTTGTTGCTTGGATAATTTGAAAGATCACTTCGTCTAATTCTACTGAAGCAACTACAAATTCTTCATCAATCTTGGTGTGTTCGTTTATTAGTGTAGATAATATATCTGCGAGACCAAAATCTGATGTTTTGATGTATTTAATATCAAAATCATACATCATTAAATGTAATGCCCATCTTTGCAATCGCTTCGCTGTGTGGATTGGAATGCCCTTTTTGGAACCAAAAATTGTTATTAATGGTTTATGGTCAGTTTGAAGTATAAATTTTCTGCCATAAATCATTTTGTGAAATTTTTGGGTTGCAAAGATCAATGCTAATGCCTATTTCTATATTTGGCTGTATCTTTTTTCCTGTTCCGTAAGAGTTCTTGATACGTGCATTACTGCTTTGATTGATTTATCAGAAAATTTATGTAACAAACAAGCTCCTATTCCTGTTTCTGAAGCATCTGCAGCCACAATTATGTCTAAGTTAGGGTTGTAGTGTGTAAGAATCATATCTGATTGCAGCAATTGCTTAAACGTATTAAAGGATTGTTGACATGCTTGATTCAAGTTCCAAGTGGCACCTTTACGTAATAAGGCATTTAGCGGCTCGCGTATTTTATGCATATCATTTCCCATAAAAATTTATTCCTCCTAAATAAGATCTTAACTGAGAAATATTTTTAGGGGCAGGCATACCAACAATAGATTCCACTTTGGCGGGATCTGGTTTAAGTCCATTTATATCGATAACATACCCTAAATATTTGATTTGTCGTGATTTGAATTTGCATTTCTCTATCTTAAGCTTAAAACCATATTCTTGCATGCGCTGACATAACATGAGAAGATTTTTGTCAGTTCAGCTTCCGTTTTTCCCACCACGATGATGTCATCTAAGTATGCGCTCACTCCTGGCAACTTTTGAATCATCATATCCATAATAATATCTATCAGTATGACAAAACTAACAAACATATACAGCGTGTTCCAACATATACTTGTCAACGAGGACATAAAAAATGTCAGAGAAAATAAAGTTCTTTTACAAGCAATATTAATATGTTTATTTATATATAATATTTTGGCGACGCTGGTAAATAAGGTTTGCACGATACTAAGCTGCATTATGTCAACAACTTCAGCAGAAGATCTAACACCATTGGTAAATGCTCTAAGTGCCCTAATAAATAATCTACAACAACGTTCAAATACAGTCAAAGATCTTCTTCAGACACAGATTTTAACCTTCGAACATTTTGATGAAACCTCCGAAAACTTCGACAGTTATCATCAGAGGCTAGACATTTTTTTCAAAATCAAAGGACTTAATAAAGATGAGCCTAAAACAGATGAAGCTAAAGTAATGGTTCTGATTAATTGCCTAGGAAGTAAACATTATAAGCTCCTTTTAAGTTTAACAGCTCCTGATCTTCCAGCAGACAAAAACTATACAGAGTTAATAACCCTTCTAAGAAACCACCTTACTCCCAAAAGGAACATATTGACGGAACAACACAAATTTCTCTCAAGAACCCAAAATCCTGGTGAGTCATTAACGGTGGTGTAGCGGTCTATCGCGCTTATATTCATTTATAGGCAAGTTTATGAGTCTGAGACTGCTGGGTTTCGAATCCCAGACCAGACCATGTGGATTTTTAATTAAATTGCATGGTTCAGTTTAGGATTTGATGTGTGGCGTATTAATAGAAATTCATGCAGATTAAAAAAATTCGCCATACATTACCGTCTCGATGATGGTGGGTGAGGTTTTCCGGGTTTTCCTCACCTGTAAGTCAAATGGCACCATCAATCATCTTTAAGTCGCCCCGGAGCGCCACGGCAAATAATAATAATAGCCGTCCCTTTCCCCGGACAAGCTCAGCTTTTGGGGTTAAAATTCACTCGTAAGGGGGTGAATTAGGGACAGTATTATTATTATTATATTATTATTATATACGTTGCTGCATTAAAAGAGCTAATCAAGACGTGTGACATAAAAACCGAATGTAATGATCAAAAATGTGCAGGATCCGTTATCAATCTTCTTGTGCGGGCACAGTTCATTCGAGGATTAAATGACACAGAAATTCGTGAAAAAATTTTACAGCAGACAAATATCTCATTAGACAAAATGTTACAAATTGCTTATTCGATTGAGGCTACAAAAATACAGAATAGAGAAGACTATAAGTGTGCTTCGACGTCTACTGTTCAAAAAGTTGAAACCGTATTCCCAAATTTTGGAAGAAGTCAAAACGATAGCAGATCAAAAGAACATCAAACTGAATACCCAGCAAACAGGAGAAAGAATACCATAAATTTTCAAAAATTAGGACTCGATGCAAATGTTTAAGATGTGGGAAAAGAAATCACAAGACCCAAGACTGCACATCTTATAACCAACTTCGTTGCCAAAAATGCAAAAAGAAAGGGCACATTTCTAATTGTATTACGAAT